AGAGAGAGAGAGAGAGAGAGAGAGAGAATGAATAAATTTTAATATTTATTTTTAGTTTTCGGCAGACACAACATCGTTGTTTGTATGTGGTGCTGAGGATCGAACCCGGGCTGCACGCATGCCAGGCGAGCGCGCTACCGCTTGAGCCACATCCCCAGCCCAACTTAGTCCTACTTTTGCCAAATTTTTTCCCACTTATGCCCCCTGCTACAAGATAAAGCACCTATTGATGGGAGATAAATATAACTAAAGGGAGCCTGAGTACCTGCATTACTCTAACATCAGAGTACCACGGTCTGAACTGTGTTCCTACAAAATTCCTATTTGAGATCCTAAACACCTAATACCTCAAACATGACTACCCCTGGAGAAATGGGGCTTTTAAGGAGAAGATTAAGCTAGCAATGAGGTGTTTAAGTGTACCTTAATCCAATATGTCTTGTGTCTTTGTAAGAAGAAGTGACTTAGGGCACAGACGTACACGGAGGGGAGACTGGGTAGAGATGGGGGAGAAGATGGCCACCTACAAGCCAAGGGGAGAACTCTCCAGAAGAAATCAACCCTGCCTGCCCACACCCTGATCTTGGACTTTAAGATTTTGGAATTTTGAGAAAATTAACTTTTGTTGTTTAAATCATCCAGTCTGTGGTACGTTGTTATGACAATCCCAGAAAACTAATACAACTAGTTTAACATATCTCCATTTCTTTAGAAGACTCAGGGTTGCAGAGACAAAATGTTATCAGTCTATTTTTCACCAATCAACAGTTATCAAGAACTATCTCATCACAGCAACCAAGACAAAAAGCTAGAAATCCCTGCCCTCATGGAGCTTACTGAAATATATATTCAGAACAGTTTTGTAAATAAAGTTGTTAAATGCACTTATTGCATTAGTGGAACTATTTTTATTTTTGAAGGCAATAAGTGCTGCATTAGTAGGGAAGTCAAATTCTAAAACTTAACATTATTATATGTATTCATCTCAACAGTAATGGTTAACATTTACTAAGTACTTACTCTATACAAGAAATTGTTTTTCAAGTGTTTTATGAGAAGAGTTTATTTTTCTAAAACAAAAATGCTTATACTTCCCTAATTTTATTGACAGGAAAACTGGAACACAGGAAATTTAAGTTACTAGTCCAAGCTCACACAACTAAAAATAGCTGCAAAATAACAAATCAATATGTGGAAGTTGAAACAAAGTCACAACACAATAAAACTATCAAGTAATGAGGAGTTGCTGGAAATAACTGGGGAACATTAGACTGGAGGAAGCAGTGGTTCTTACAGTGAGCCTGTCTCTGACTTTGGTTTCATGGGCAGTATAAAATACTGAAAAACAAGATAAAGGAAAAGAAAATGAGTTAATCAGGAAAAGGCTGAAGCAAACCTTGTCTGTTGGTAATTTTTAAAGTATTTCTCCAGGTGGAGTTATAAACAGAATATAAGAAATGAGGTAGTAAAGAAAAGATTACAACATAATCCTTGATGGAAGAGAGTGCATAATGAGGCTTGTCTGTCCCCCCAGGGAATCTTGATATATGGGGGTCTCTTTTAATATCAGATAACAGAGAGGAAGGAGAAAGACTGTCTGATGGTGGTCTCCAATGCTGCCTCTTCTAGAAACTTGCTTTATAGAAATGGTTAATTTCAGATCATTCTATATTGTTAATTGACTGAGTAAAGGACATGTGTGTAGTTAGGGAAAAGATCCTTTGTGGCTAAAAAAAAAAACAAAACACTATTGAAAATTTAACTTATAGGAAAATTGATTTCTAATAGGAAACAAAAGCAGACAATTTTCCTATAAGTTAAATTTTCTCCTCATTAAACTAAATTACTTGGTTGCATCTTTGGAAGGCTACAAAGCTAGAATGTCCTACCGTATTTTAGTCTTTTGAGAAATTGTATTTGTGATATCAATGCTCAAGAAGCACAAATCTTGAGAAACAAAAATAATGATAGGCAAAAACAATTATACATTTACCATCTGCAAAAATAGTAGTCTTCCTATGTTGGCAAATGTATTATAGCTTTAGGAAATCACTTGTATCTATATTAATTGGGCAAACACGGTAGTTTATAAACCTTTTAAAAGATGTAAAACCCCAAGTTTTAAAAAAAATGTAAACATTTTGAATTGTAATAATCCAAGTAGGTAGAAAAGATAAGAACAGAGTAAAATCAGTCATTGGAAATTAAGGAATGTTTTGGTAGGAATTGTTGGACAGTCGAAGATAACCCGGTGATCAGACTGTTTGTTCCATTGCTTTAACTGATGTATAATTTGTCTAGAGTTCATGATACAGCTGTACCAGAAAGATATTTAGTACTACTTTCTTTACTCTGTGTTAAAAAAATCAATGATGATGATTGTGTAGAGCACAATTGACACATCTAATATGCCAGTAGTCAGAGGCCCTGACTTTCTTTATAAGATCATTAGATATTGTTCAGTTTTCATAAAATATCACTGTGGTCATGATAATGTTATCTTATTGTTCTCCTTGTAGGAAGCTTATACATCCTGCCTCATAAAACTCAGACTTGGTCATGTGACTTGCCTTGGCCAAATAAATGGGAGTAGAAATGAATTATGTGACTTTTCAGAAGCAGCTCTAAAAGTCCTCATGTGGCCTTAGCATTTCTATTTTGCCTTTGATTTAGGAATGGCAGATCCTTGGTAGAAGCTCCTTGGTAAGCCTGTGCCCCAGATTGGCTAAATTTAGAGCAGAACCCAAACCAAACCATGCAAATATATATTGCAAATTTTGAAAATATATTATATGACATTGATAATTTGGGGATCATTTTTTATGGCTGCAAACTCTGACTTAGGCTGATGGTGCAAGATCCTAAATGAAGTTCCTCATTTAGTCAAAATACAGTTGAGAGATTAAGATCAGTCACATGACCTAGATAGAGTCCAGCATTTACTCTTTCCTTTCCTTCTTCTTTCTCCCTTCTCTTGTTGCTTTTTAATTTCTTTCCATCAACAGCTCCAGAATGATAACAATTGTTATCTCTGAGAATTTCTAAAGGAGTTACAGATTCCCCCTGGCATGCAGCCCTCCCCACCCCCAAATCATGGAAACATGTTTAGAGATCATCTAATCCAATGTCCTCATTGCACACAGGCCCATAAACCGGAGTCCAGAGACACACATGGGCTGGTCCAAGTTCATGCAGCCAAGGAGTGACAAAGTGAACCTGAAAGTTAATATCAAGGTTCCTGGTTCAGGGCAGTTTCCATTAGAGAGTTTGGCCTCTCCAAGGGATTTCAAGATGCTACAATGAGCTCTGACACGATATTTTTGTCTTTTCAGCATTTGGAAAATGACTCATATGTATAACAGACGCAGCAGAAAAACAGACATGAAGCATTTAGGGAACAAAATTACAACTTCTTAGTCTTTCCAAGAACTGAGAGGAGACATTGAAGAGACAGGAAGGCAAGCAATATTGGCTACCTACACTTGCTGGATCAACACACACCATGTGGAGCCCATGAGCACACGAATCTCCCAAACAAAAAAGTGGGCAGGAAAAATCTATGAGAAGGACTTTACTGGTTTCACTTCATCTGAATGGGTGGATGGGTGGGGGGAATGTTCTCTCTGATTGTTAAAATAAATGGGTTGTCACCATTATATCAACCCTTCTCTATTTCTTCATTCCTCATACAATGACACAGAGCTGTCCTTAAATTTTGTGCTTTATTCCAGAAAATCAAAACATGTGAAACACTCTGCTAAGTTTATTAAGAGCCTGTGGTCATGACATCCAAGCTCTGTTAGGAATGGACATTGCTCTGGCCCATCCCTGGTCCTGTGGCCTTGCCTCTTGAAGTTGCATTTGAAAGTAAAAATAGAAATTAATGTATTTTGCAGAAACTGTTTGGTCATTAACCTTCTAATTCTCTCCAAGGACCTTGGCTTATGGAGCTGACTCCATCCTCAGTCTGACTTGGGAGGATACTTGCTCAGTTTTTACAATGATTGCAGACTGAGTTTATTACCCAAATGAAGGAACCACTTTACTGAAGTCCAGCATAAGATGAAGTCAGGCAGATAAACTAATTTTAACTTAGCAAAAGGGTAAACTCAATAGACTTTAGTATTTAGGAATGTTTTAAAGTCTGTATACCTTCTTTCATAATGTATTATTCTAGTCATGCCTGTCCATACACCCCAAACTGTTAATGATCTTACTTGCCTATGAGATTAATCACATCTTACTTCTTCTGCCATCCTGGAATATCCACAGTGCGGTGTATCTGACTTCTGATTCCCTACTTTCTCAGGCTACAACCAACATGTCTTTCTCAGTAACTCCAAGTACAACCTCCATATTTGTAGCTTTTCTCTCTGACAGGACAAATGAATCTATTCCTTTGTCTTTATATTCACTTTCATGAAACAAATTAGTGGAATATCTCCACTCAGAAAAAAACAAAAACTTCTTAACCATACCAAATATTACCCCTTTCCAATATGTCTGCAATCCACAGATTCATCTTTGAAAATGTAACTTCCATCATCCTAGCCTACTGAATAAGCCATCACTCTCTAAACAGTAGGGTGAAGTTCCACAATTGGTTTCTAAGTATTGACCTCATATATCTCTGATTTTCAAACAGGCTGTTTCCCCCCAGAGCTTCCATGTACTCTTCATTTGGCTGGAATGTTCCTTCTGTCAGCCTCCCCTTATTCATCCTCAGGTCTCAGTTTCCTCTAGGTATCTCTGGCCAAATGCTTTTCAACCCTCAGTAATGTACGGTTTCTCATAGCATTGCCTACATGCATAAATATTTGCTTAATGGTGCAGATACGGAAATATCCATCTTGCTCACGGATATGTCTCTAGAAGCTTGGAAAATGCCTTGAATATAACATCTACTTGAAAACATATAAGAAGTCAGATTATTCTTTAAAACTACTATCTTCTGCAGATTTCACTGTAAACATATCTCTTCTCAAAAGTACTTTGCAAAAAAAAAATGATTAGGTTAGGTTATGATAGAGGTGGGAAGGAGAAATGAAGAGTAGGAGAATTTGCAATATAGGAGATTGTTATGATTTAGAAATTGGTGACTCCCAAGCTCATGTGTGAGACAATGCAAAATTTAGAGGTGAAATGATTGGATTATGAGAGCTTTGACCCAATCAGTGAATTAATCTTCTCATAGGGTTTAACTATGTAATACTGCCTCACCTCAAGTACCAAGGAATGGAGCCAGCTATCTTTGGACTGAGACCTCTGAAACCATGAGCCCCCAAATAAACTTTTTCTCCTTTAAAATTGTGCTTGTCAAGTCTTTTGTGGCGACAGCCAAAAAACTGACTAAAACAGACATAAAGAAGAAGAATGCATGGCGGAATGAGATTGATATCATCACCCTAAGTACATGTATGAAGACACGAATGGTGTGAATATACTTTATTCACAACCAGAGATATGAAAAAGTGTGCTCTATTAGTGTAATATGAATTGCAATGCATTTTGCTGTCATATATAACAAATTAGAATAAAAACTAAAAAAAGAAGAAGAATGCAACAAAGTTCAATGAAAGAGGTATTTATGATGAGTAAACCTCTAAGAAAGAGGAAAGACTGTCAATGACAAGAAAAACCCTCTGAAAGAAAGTTTACCAATTGAAGTGGCTTGGTCTTTCTCTAGGAAATTTGAGCAATACCCAGAAATCAGCCTAGGAAGAAACTCAATGTTCCAGGCCACTAAATAGAGGTTCCGGGGTTTATGTCTCTGTTATTTCCCCACGACCCAGACTGGAAAAATACAGTCAGAAAACGTAGGCTGCTCTGCAGTTCAACAGGCATAAAATGCCTGACAGTTCTCCTGGGATCATCCTATCAACAAGCAAGGCAGCCCGGCTTGTCAGATGTTATCATTCCTCGCTTGATCAGCACTCTGGGTAGCTGGCCCTCTCCTTTGTGTGGTGTTCTACTGTACAGCAAGACTGGATGAGCTATATTCCCATCATGCTTCCCCAAGACCCCCATGTTTAAACTTTATGTTCTCAAAGGTGTCGTTAGAGGTCACGCTTATACTCTGCATTGGGAATTCTTTTTTTTTTTTTTTAAAATCCCATTATCTAAAATCTGCACAATGGAAAATATTTAGTAGCTGCCAAAATCTATCTTAGACTGTAGAATATCATTTTGTGTGTGAAAAGAAAGCAGATTTCAATGAGAATGAATATTTATTAGTCACACATTATGTAGCTGGCACCATGTTAAAAACTTTCATTTTTTACAGGGAAAGTACCAAATACTACTTATGTCCGATACTAATTGCATGTCTTTAACTAGATTTTGATTCCATTTTTAACTGAACACTGTTGGTATTGTCTATTCCGATTACAGCTCAATACTGGGTATCCAAAATAATCTCAGAAAAGAACAAAATTGGAGGATTCAACACTTCACGATTTCAAAATGTACTACAAACAGCAGTAATTAAGGCTGTGTAGTACTGGCACCAAGTTAGAGATATGTAGATAAATGGAAATCACAAACCCAGCCCAAATTCAAGGAGTTCTTGCTGGGAGGGACTGAAAGCTTGCTTTTCAAAAGTCCTGAAGAGAGGGCAGGGTGAAGCACTGTGGACATTTCTTATCATGAATTTACCACAGTTTACCTTCTGCTGTATCTCTTGATAGCTCTTCCATATGCAAAACACACTCATCCTCTACTGATACCCCAACATGTTATCCAGTTGAGGCTTAAAATCCAGGCTCTTGGTGTCGATATCATATCTGATAGGGTTCTTCTTTATCCTAAGAATCTGGCCCCCCAAACCTACTTGTCCTACATCCTGCTGATAGTCAAATCTGGAAAGGGAGTATGATAACCATAATGAACACTCTCGTTAAAAAGGAGATGAATAAGAGACGGTAGTCACTGATCCATAACATTTTGAAATCCTAGTAGGAATATTGCCAGATGATCTAACCTAGGAGTGGAATGGAGTCCTTGTATAGATTCTAGTTCTTTTCTTTAAAAAAAAAATCTTATTGGTTCTTTTTAGTTATCTATGACAGTAGAATCCTTTTTGACATAGTTATAAAATCATGGAATATACTTTATTCTAATTAGTCCCCAGTACCTCTCTTTCCCTTCTGGTCCCCTACCCCTGCTTCCTTCTACACTATACTGATCTTACTCAGTTATTTTTAAAATCTTCTTTCCTGCAGATGTACATGGTGGTGAGGTTCTCTATGTACATATTCATATATGTACATAGCAAAGTTATGTCAGATTCATTTCACTGCCTTTTCTTTTCCCATTCCCCTTTGTCTCCCCTCTTCCCATCATCCCCCTTTGTCTACTCCACTGAACTTATATTATTGTTTTTATTAACACCCCCCCCCACTCTGCTTATTATGGGTTAACTTCCACATATCAGAGAAAACATTCCACTTTTAGCTTCAGGGGATTGGCTTATTTCACTTAGCAGGATAGTCTCCAGATCCATCCATTCACTGGCAATTGTCATAAAGTTCTTCTTTATGGCTGAGTAGCAATGCATTGTGCATAATACCACATTTTCTTTATCCATTCATCTGTTGAAGGGCATCTAGCTTAGCTCCACAGCTTAGCTATTGTGTGTACTACTATAAACATTGATGTGGTTGTGTCACTGTAGTATGCTGATTTTGAATCTTTTGGATATATATATACTGAAGAGTGGGAGGTCGTGGGTTTTTAATTTGGGGTAGTGTCTGAGTCAACCATTCTGTATGGGTTTTGGCTTTACCTGTGCATCCTTGGGTTGCCGTCTCAGACTTTCTTTTCTCCCCTCCTTTACTATTTCTGAAGACAACACTGGAAAGTATGTCCTTTGAAGAACTCTCTCAGTTCTTTCTTGCTTATAGAAAATAGCCTCATTTTTTGACTTTTGCCTGTATATCTCTCAATATTTTTTAGACTTTTTCATGAGTCTGATTCTGTTCAGTTCTAATTATAAAATCAATACCTGCAATTCTTTGAGAAGCTTCTTGCTCTAGATGAAATTATAACTATTTAAGGCATCTAGCTTAGCCTTTCTAACAAGCCCCTGTGGGATAATAGTTTTCAGATTTCTAGAACACATTTTTTTTTTCTTAGCTGAGAAGAATAACTGGAAACCATTTTTGTTCTTTTTTATAATTTAGATTTAATTTCTTTTTAATTGTTAAACTATACAAAAACATAAGAATTGTGCATACTAATGGGGTATCATATGACGTTTCAAAATATATACACATTGTGCAATATATAAATCGGGTTAAACATGTCTAGCTACTTAAATATTTGCCTCTCTTTATAAAAACTTCCAAAATCCTTTCTTCTAGCTTTTTGAAGTGCACAGTTTATCATTGCTATCTGTGACCACCCTATTGTGCACTAGCGCACCAGAACTTCTTGCTTCTCTCTAACTGTAATGTGGTACCCATTGGTCAATCTTTCCTCATCCTCCCATCCTCTTGCTTTCTGAAGCCTCTGGTAATCACCACCCTACTCTTAATTTCTATGAGATTAACTTTTGTCGATTCCACATATGACTGAGACCATGCTGTGCTTATCTTTGCCTGTCTGGCTTATTTCACTTCACATAATGTGATGATCTCTATTCCCACCCTTGCTGTTGCA